AAGCATACACAACTACTCACACATTGTAAGTAGTGCAATCATTTGTAATATGCTCTCAGGTGCTCCTATATTTATAATACGCCATTGCTACAGAGGGAGACACGGTTTAGCTGTCTTTTTGTACATCTTAACATCCAACTTTGTATACTATATCTTTTAGAGGAGTGAACTTATATGTAATGCTGACGGGAGCGCTGCCATTTACTCATCACCCATTCAGTCTCCCCGGCCTTCTCTCAAAAATGTTGCGACAGGAGATAAACCCATTCCCAAGCCACCTCAGCAAAGGTTAGTAATTCAAGTAGGTGGTCCGTGTTTTGTAAACGCCAGAAAACAAGTTCAATACTAGCCCAGGTGTAAGTTCCTGCAAAAGACATTAAATTAATGATAGGCCTGTAATCAAATAAGTAGAAATAATGTCTTGCATTTCAAAATGCGGTAATAATATTAATTTGTCTCTCAGAAAATCTTTGACCTGGCGTGAAGCGAAAGTCTGCTCTCCGCCTTTCCTTTGAGAAGTATACAATCAATTACCCTGATTCTTGTCTTATTTTATTTTTGATATTTAATTTAAGCAAAATGCGGGCACACTTATGATTCTGCTGAAAAGTATCAGAGGCTCAAATCGTTTTAATGACGAAAAAACAAATAATAAATACTATATATGTGTGAATTAAATAGCGGAAAGTCTCCACCCTGGGACTGGTTTTGACCATCGAACTCTCGAATTCTGGCCGAATAATCTGCCAACTGAACTGTCAGGAAGGCGACGTTTTGGCTTATTAATTTGTATTTTGAGGAGCTTGATTACTACTTAATCTGTGGTCCTGTGGCCTGTATAATGACAGGGACAGAAATAACAAGGAATTGGGTAAACTATATCTGATTTTTCATCTGTGTCAAGCCTGTAATTCACTTGCATGATTCTGCTACGCATGGTTACTACCAGATGATGAACGATACCTAGACGTAACTGTAAGGCAACTCATTCTGTTGCGCCTGATATATGCTTGTTGTACGGTAGCGAGTGCCGAAGTGTTGGTTGTTTTCTCCCGTTTGTCGTCCTTTGTCACTTAGTCACAGAGGTGCCACAGTTCTTGAACGTTTCTATCTGGTTTGCTGTAGTGCGGTTTTCAAACTTCGTAAGAGCACCCTAACATACGCACTTTGGTGCATTCTCGGATGATTGCTACGATAGTTATGGTCTTGGATTGTGGTAGTCGTCTTACACTGTGGTGGTAAGCTCTCCATCGGGTCTGTGCATGATGAGAACGTTGAAGAAGGGTACATGCTCAGTATTCTCGTCTTCTACTGGTAAACAGATGCGGAAAGCCTGATAGTCTGTCCTCCTCAGTTATGACGAACGTGTCTTCCAAATACCGACCTGAAAACGCGGGGTCGTGCTGGTTGAAAGCTACCTTATTTAGCTCTTGTACGAACAATTTTGTAACTAAGGTAGTTTTTTGGGGAACTCATCGGGGTTCTCATCATTTAATTACACGGTCTGCCATTGAATGTGAAAAAAGGTTCGTTGGCCGAGTGCGAAGTGTCGCATTAAGTGTTCGATTTTCAGGGTCCCCGCGCGGATACGAGGGATTCAGCTCATAAGTGGGTCCCCCATCGTGTGCCTTCTGGTATATATTTCAGTTCTTAATATAAGAGTTTTTAATCTGCTCAGAAATTAGTGCAAGAACTTGCGATATGTTTTGCTCGAGTTTGGCTTGCATATTACGCAGTTATTCCACTGGAGCTGATGCATTTTGGCTTAGATATGCACATCACATTTCAGACTGAACGCAAAGAGATTTGTGTTGAAAAGCATTTCTTCAATGTTTTGCCTAGCGCACTATTATTGTATAAATTCTTAAATCCTTAAGAGTTGATTATGCAAGAGTTGGGTAACTCCACTGTTCATCCTGTAACTCTTCAATTACTTCTTCAATCTTCAGCTGCTATAGACCTCATACGAGGCCTACTAACGCCGGATCCCAAAGAACGATTACGTTTGCCGCAGCTTATAGCCCACCCATGGTTGACAGGAACAGAACAAGTCAAGCCGTCGATCCCACAAGCCGACGAATTCCCCTTGGAATTCACATCCTCGGTCGACGTCGCTGCTGAAGTTGGAAGACCCCACAGACTCAAACGGGCAGGCTGCGGTCGTCGAGCCTCTAATGCCAAATCCCAGTCCCCCTATGGCAGCCGCAGCCCACAGGTAAGCATCTGTTCGGAGGCAGATTTTCCAGCTAGGAGGCCCATGGTGGATGAAAAACCTATTTACTAACAAAAGCCTACTGATAAAAACTAAAGTAGATGTAATTAGGAGGTTTGGCAGATTTGCTTAATTTGAGTTGACC